CTCTCTCTCTATATATACAACTAAAACATTTGGACTGTTAACGTTCAGCCGGCCCCGGTCGATGTCCACCCCGGCTTTCACCGAGTGCCTGCGATCCGCGTCTCTTCGGCTTTCACCACGTGCCCTCACGCGATCTGCGCCCCTCCCTCTGATTCAAATTCCACGCACACTCTGTTTCTTTCCTTATAAAAAATAGCAACAAAGATGATCGTCGCACGCCCCATGCCCGTGCACAATTGCCATGCCTCTACTTCTCCTTTACGCCCCCTACCCCTACCCCTACCCCTCCGGTTCCATCGGGATTCTTTTCCGCATGGTTCTCTTCGCGAACATCACATGCCTCCTTTCCATCGCACGCCCGCATCCTTCACGGCATCCCGGCCACACACGGCAGCTTTCTGTATTAGGAGTTTATTAGGACCAGTGGGGAGTATCGCAAGAATGCCACACCTAAACATGCCGGTCGCGGAAGCCGAACAAAGACATCATTGCGAGCCCGTTCGGCTGGTCAGGTTTTGGCTGATTTTGGATGATTTAATAGTATTCTGTGATAGAGAATAAGCTGAAACAAGCTGGGACCTGACCAGCCGAACGGGTGTGTGTCTCATCTAAATATCTTATCCCATCCTTTTGGTGCATAGGTGAAGCAGTCCGTCAGATATGCAGTTACTTCATCCTACCGTGCACGTACAAACTAGGTTCCATGTTTGCCTGTTCTCAAAAGGTAAAAAAACCATTCTTGTCTTCTTTGGAATTTAATGTTATATATCTGCTAAAATGTCTTTGTAGCTGGCAAATGGTGAAGCAGCAAGCCCCAAGACGCAGAGCTCAATCAGGAGCTCATCTTCCTCATGTTCTCCTAATGTAAAATGATTCTACTTTTTATTTGATGTACTTGTTACTAACAGACATAGCTGAACTGAAATCCGATAGATTCAACTTCAAGGTTTGGAAGATAACTTTTTTTAGTGACATTTGATTCACTCTATATGGCGCATGTTGCAAGCTCTGTTTGGCTGTCATTATAAGCCGGCTTATCAGCCATGGTATAATATTTTTCTCTCCCAATAAATCACCCGTAAAATCAGCACAAGCGGCTTATAGATCAGTCGAACAGAGCCAAAGAGCCAATGGTTATGCTACTTTGTGTATTTGTCATTTAATGAAATTTTGTTCCAAGATAGGAAGTTAAATTGGGAACGAGTGAGTCGCTCGTTTGGTTAGCATCGCCAACCGCGAGCTTGGCCACCCGGGTTCGAACCCGGTGCGTATTTCCGCTCAAAATGAGTGGGAATGGGGAAGCCCCTGTTCAAAAAAAAAAAAGACCAGAAGTTAAATTAAGGATATCTTCTAAACTATTTATTATTACTCCTTGAAAGTTTCAGCTGGCATTGATGTAAAAGGTCCTTATGAAATATATGTTGGGAGCCTGTCGGCAAGATTGTGTGTAATGAACACGGTTGTTACAACTTGAGCTAGATCGTTTTGATTTCACATCAAAACTTGAATTACATTCTAATTGTTGGTGTTTCGTGAAAACTTAAGTAATATTGATGATTGGCTATAAACAGAATGTTATAAACATCACATTTTGGTAATACACCACACGTTTAAACTTGAATTATCGTGACATGATAATCTCCCATTGTAATGCATGGGCATGACCAGACATCGGTTGTCAGCCATGACAATTGCAACCATGCCAGTTGAGTTTAGTGTGGTATTGTAATGTAGATCGGGAGCAACAGGCATGTCTGAATAAAAAACAACATGTTTTTATATTTCTAAAGAATTTGACAACTTCATTGTGTTTTTATCCTTCTAAAGAATTTGGCAACTTCATTCTCTGAATAAAAAACAACATGTTTTTATACTTCTAAAGAATTTGACAACTTCATTGTGTTTTTATCCTTCTAAAGAATTTGGCAACTTCATTCGCTGAATAAAAAACAACTTGTTTTTATACTTCTAAAGAATTTGATAACTTCATTGTGTTTTTATCCTTCTAAAGAATTTGGCAACTTCATTCACTACTGTAGAAAAACTTAACCGAGACGTTTCGCTTTTGGGGCTCGGAGGCGGACGGGCTGGTTGCCCGCCTCCATTAATCGGTGGCCGACAGCCTGCACAACAACCGCCTCGGTTAATCATTAACAGAGACGGACAACCTAACGTGCCCGTCTCGGTTAATATAGATTAACCGAGGCGGTCATCCTAACACAAACGCCTTGGTAAATCATTAATCGAGGCGGATATTCTAACGCAACCGCCTCATTAAATCAGGCCCAGCTTACTAGCCCACACCAGCCCACTACCATCTCCAATATATAAATGAAAACCGAAACCCTAAAACTCCACTCTCCCTCCTCTCCTCACTCCACTCTCCTGATAGCGGCCGCCCCTCTCCGAGCGCCGCGGCTTCGAGTGCGCCCCCTCTCCAAGCGACGCCACCATCTCCTCCCTCTCTCACACACACCGGCCCCTCCTCCCTCTCCCTCCAGCCATGCCTGCGCGCCCCTCCTTGCTCCCACCATGGTGGCGCCCCTCCTCCCTCCCATCACGGCTATGCCCCTCCTCCCTCTCCCTCCCATCACGGTGGCACGATTCCACCACGGTGGCATGGCTCCACCACAGCGGCGGATCCGCACCCTCCTTCCCCGCGGCGGATCCAGCCCCCTCCTCCTCGGTAGCGGATCCGGCCTCACCTCCTCCCCGGCGGTGGATCCGGCCCTCACCTCCTACCCGGTGGTGGATCCGGCCCTCACCTCCTCCCGGCGGCGCTCTCGGTGCCCGGATCTGGTTGAGGAGGCAAGCGGCATGGATCCGACGGTGGCAGATCCTGGTGGGCGAGATCCGGTAGTGTGGATGGGCTCGGCGGGCTCGTGGATGGGCTTGTTGGGCTTGTCCACGGGTTTTCTTATTTTTTGTTTTTGATTTTATTAACCGAGGCGGGCATTTGAACCACCTCGGTAAATCATTGATTTACCGTGACCTTTTGATCGAGGCGGACAAGTTGCCCGCCTCGGAAAATCCTTTTTGCCCGCCTTGGTTAAGTTTATCGTAGTAGTGATTGTTGACAGTACTCTACTATTTTTTATTTGAAATAATCTCATTTTGATGACAATTTAATTGAAGCACTTTTAAGAGTAATTGCAACTAAAAAAATATGGATTTGATTCCCCTTCATTTTCTGCCTGGTTCGATAGAACCATGCTTGGTTCATAAGATAGAGTTTTCCCGTTGCAATGCACGGGCAGTAAGCTACTTGTACTCGGTTTATATCAAATCCTGCCCATAACCTTGGCTAATTATTTATTATTTATTTATTTTATTTTAAAGGACATATTGGGTAAGAAGCTTCGGCCCATACCAAATAAACGTAAGTGTTAATTCAGGGACTCATACAAATGGGTACGAGAATGTCCAAAGAGTGCTTCAACTTGGGTGTTCGGGTACTTGCAAACAACGAAGCAGACATGCTTCAGAATACAAATAATAAGATCGTGACAAACCATTATATGGTCTTGCGATTCTATGTATGTTTTTACTATTATATCGTGATGAATAATGTATGTTATTTATGTCTTGCTTATCTTTTTTTTTACTTTAGACATTGTTGGTCTCCAATACTTTGAAGACTGAAGAAAGGAAAAAACAGGTCGGCGGAACATGTGTACGTTGGCCTCGTATGCAATATGATTCCTCGTGCTGTAGATTTGTAAGGCTTCTATCCTTTGATTTATTTTACATACTTTAATGCTACTATTGTAATATATCGTAATCCCAACTGTTTTGCATGTCTTTATCCCATGGAAGCAACATATATGCTTTATGTGCTCGACCAAGAGGTTTTAAGTATGACTATACTTGATACCACACCACCTCCGGAACGGATGAAAGACGATATACCATTCAAAGAGGTATGTAAAAACAATTATGCAAATGGAGAAGTTTGTCCGGCTTCCGTGTTCTACAACTAATGGTGGCCTGAAATAATGGGCAACTCACACGGATCAACACGGTGAGCGGAAACAATATTTCTGATCATATATACTTTTTGATTTATTATAATTCATTTATATAATCCTACTTATTATATTTTCTGTTTTTATATTTGACTATGCACAGGATGGCCAAAGAATACGAAATGTCTTCATGATCAAACTATTGACATACAAAGAAAATTCAAGACAAATTTTAATTCCTAAAGAAGTGCAAGATTATCTTAAGCGTATCGTAGGCATGAAGTGATACAATAGGTTCTTACATTATGAACAATATGAAGTTGATGTTTCAGTTTTGCATTCAATTTTGGAGTTATATTTTAATTATCTATAAGACTTATGTAATATTGATATTTTAGGTAACAGTATAACATACGCTCATACATATGTTATCGTGGTATATATGTTTCCGTTGCAATGCACGAGCATTTATCTAGTATATTAGAAAAAAAAAACATATCTTTTTTAAGATGTAACACAATTCTATAAGGTGGCATATAGATTTCGGTCTTCAACTATTATGAAAGTTCAGTTCTGATACTATTAGCTGTCGTTAAAATCGCTCTATTCAAATGCCACGAGAGATGAAACCAAGATAGAATTGTTGTGGATTATGTTTTGTTCAGATTTGATATAGTTAGTAAGTGTGCAGTGTCCATCTTAGATTTATTTTTGCATGGCTCCCTATTAGAAGTATATTTCAACATGCAAACCATCTACATCATCCCCACTAACTACCTACATATCCATCGAACTTCCAACCTCTTAATTGGAAGCTATCCACATGTACCATCTTTACTCAATTTCATTTCAAATTCTTTGTATTCAGCAATGCGCCGGGTATCTTCTGGTTACAAAGAAAATAAAAACAGAGATATACGTTCTGAAACCCCTGACCACACAGCGCACAATCTTTAGGCATGCATCTTGGAGCAGAAAATACAGTCAAATTATATTCCAACATCGATGGACCTGCAACAGTACGACCCATGGATCTTACCTGGGAAGCACCGGGGTAAGCAGCGGCTTACCGGAGAAGAAGGCTTCAAGGTTCCCGATGGTGGCGTCACGAAGGTCCGACCTGGACTCCTTCGTGAAAGCCGCGCAATGATGCGTCAGCACCACATTGTCCATGGAGAAGAGCTCCGCAGGCACCTTGGGTTCCTTCTCGAAGACATCGAGGCCAGCTCCGGCGATCCTCCCCTCTGCCAGCGCGCTGACAAGCTCCGCCTCGTCGATGATGGGCCCACGGCCGATGTTTATGACAATCCCGTCCTTCCCGAGCGCGTCGAGGACGTCCCTGTTCACGACGTGGCGCGTCTCCTTGCTCAGCGCGCACGCCACGACGAGCACGTCGGATTCGGACGCGAGGTCGTGGACGGTGGCGAAGTATCTGTAGGAGACGGATTCCTTGGGTTTTCTGGAGTTGTAGTGGATGACGCAGCCGAAAGCTTCGAGCCTCTTTGACATCAGGGAACCAATGTTCCCCAATCCGATGATGCCGACACGCTTGCCGCCCAGCTGAAGACATCAATAAAAAGCAGAAATTTTGAGATTTTGCAATGGTGTAGATGCAGAAAGTCTTGAAATTTTGCAGCTTTTTCGCTCTAATCAGATACGAAAAACAAGAGAAGTCAAGTGAGAAGGAGGAACGGGAGTACGGGACCGATCGACCTTGGTGCCGAGGGGATAGTCCCCCTGGAGCGGCCAGAGCCCGCGGCGGACGAACCGCTCGGCGGCGGAGACGCGGCGCAGCACGTCGACGAGCATGCCGACGGCGTGGTCGGCGACGTCGGTGGAGTAGACGGTGCCGGAGTTGGCGACGGCGACGCCGCGGCGCGCGCACTCGCCGAGGTCGATGTGGTCCAGCCCCGCGCCCGTGCTGAAGACGAAGCGGAGCGACGGGACGGCGTCGAGGAACGCGGCGTCCACAGAAACGGAGTCGCCTCCCGCAGCGACCAACGCGCGGGGCGGGTCCGGGTCGGCGGCCGCGGCGGCCAGGAAGCCGTGGAGGGGCTCGCCCGACGTGAAGAAGTCGAGGACATGGTACCGCTCGCGCAGCGCGGCGTGGAAGCGCAGTTCCCGGACGCGGAACATGAGGAGGGTCGGGAGCACCGGGGGCTCGGAGGATGTCATGGCAGCCTGGGAATGGGTCGTGATCCGCTCCAAGCCCCACTCCAATCCTGTGTGATTAGGTTGTAAGCCCGATCCTGTTCGAACTTATAATAATATAAGATATCGTCCGATCCAGTTCGACCCTTTAATTCACACTATCCCAACCCACTCCTGATCCTTTTTACAAATGGAATTTAACCATTTGACTGTAATCCAGTTCAGATAACTGACAGACAATCAATAAGTTACACCCAGTTGATCATAGTACTGGCGAGTTGCTTGGTTTAACCACTTGAAGTGATTGTGCAACCTAAACACCTGCAAATGAATCAAATATACGTATGTGAGGGGAGAATATATATTTTCAACAATCTTACAGTACAAGGATTTCAACACCCCTTTCCAGTTCCCTCAGCTACAATGACAGATCAGTACACGTTTAATATCTATCTTGTGCAAAATTGTCATGCAAATAAACTATAGTCGTGCCATCAAATTAATTGCTGATAACTTAGAAGATGCAGCCACTTCTGAAACGAGTTCACTTATTTACAGCCGGTATAGCTTCTACACTAACTAGTAGTAACAGAACAAAGGCCATTAAAGAGATTTGGTAATAAGAATGGGCTAAAACCAGTGTCTATTATAGTGCAAAGAAACTTGAGCTGGAATCCACTTAGTAATATATTAATGCAGTGGCTGATCAGACCATATTCTAATACCAAAAGAATATGCAGTGAAGCATGGCTGATTCAAACAAGTCAATTTCATATTCAGTGGCTAATCAACACATGAGCAAATCACTAGTATTCAGAATATGCAATGAGACACTGTACAGCTGCTGATCAATTTTAGAATATGCAGTGGAACACACTGTACATCATTCAGACATCCAAACATTTGCATCCCAACTATGGCTACTGCCTAGTGACCGTGGTTGAACAGCCCTAATACAATAGAAAACCAAGCACAAGGACTGCTACCTTTGGGGATCACATTCCGCAGAACTCAGCTAATTTCCAACAGAACCACCTGAATCACTGTACAGCTGCTGACGCACACCATATTCTACCATATCTTTTTCTAGGAACATTCCTAGTGAAGCAACAGCTAGTGTACGTTTTGATATCAGAGCATCCCTAGCGAACCAACAGCTAGAGAACTAACCTGTCAATCATCTTTTTCTTCATCTGATTCAAACATACGTTGTCCGGTCATTGGTTGACCTGCATTGAACATGAGGAGGGTCGGGAGCACCGGGGGCTCAGAGGATGTCATGGCAATGGCAGACAGGGATGCGGAGGCCTCAGTGCAGTGGTGGAGCTGGAATTTTTGCGTAGGGTATGCCGAAACAAAATTTTTATATGCAAATTGATAAAATCCATTTAGCAATTCAGTAGAGTATCATAAAAATTGTCTCACAATTCGGTAAACAACTACTAAATAGCATAATAAGTCCTAAATTATGTACCATACAAATAGTTCAAATAACACATTAATAGTTTGGAATATGCATGATAATTGTTGAGAGACATTCTGTGTATACGTGTACACCTAGGCCATGGGCACAACAACTGCTAGGACCGTGGGCGCGGTCACCGCCCGCTCCCACGACGCGCACGCCATGCGCTAGATGAGATCGGTTGCCCATTGTGCAACCCTGTTGTAACTCATATATATTCATTGAGATCAATACGAATGGGTGTTGGCTCCCAATTCTCCTCTCTACATGGTATCAGTCAGTGCGGGTTGATCCTTCTCCGCTCGACACCCAACCTCTCGCTCCGCTGCCCAACTCCGCCGCTCGCCGCGGTCACCACCCTCCTCCCCGCCATGGATGACATGGCGGAAAATCTTCTTTTCAACGTCAGCCCTGCTGCTTCTTCTGTAGCCTCCTCTCCCGAGTCGTCTGTTGACGGCGAGGTTTCCCCCGCCGCCGCCGTAAACTCCCCACCTGCTGCCGTTCTCCAGACAGTCAACATCAAATCCCACATGCCTGTCGTTCTTGCGCTCGCTGAGCCCAATTATGATGAATGGCGCTGCTTCATGGATGCCTTCCTCGGGAAATTCGGCCTCACCCCCCACGTCTCCTCGCCGCCAACCGTTCTCCAGCGTCGTGATCCCGACGTGCCCGTCGTGGATCAATGCATATTGAGCCGGATCTACATCTCCATCGCCAAAGATGTGCGCGACATCATGCGCACGCCCAAGGCCACGGCGTACGAGATCTGGACCGCCATCCACGACCAGTTCTGCGACAACAAACTCCATCGTCCAGGGCGACATGGAGATCACCCAATACACCGGGCGTCTCAAGCAACTCGCCGATGCACTCCATGATGTCAGCCAGCCAGTTCGTGAGATGAGCCAAGTGCAGAACATGCTGCGCGGTCTCAGCTCCAGGTATCGCCATGCCATCCCCGCGATCACGACGAAGCAGCCTCCCTATACCTTCCTCTCAGCACGCTCATACCTTCTCCTGGAGGAGCACTATGACAAGGAACACGCCAAGACGGCGGCCCAGCAAGCCCTGCTCGCTGCTGGTGCCCCTCGCCCGCCCACCTCTGCCCCGGTCGACGGCGGTTCCATCTCCGGCTCCAGCTCCACACCCTCCGCCCCCATGTCCATGGCGGTTTCCAGCAACTCGTCCTCCCGCAACGACAACCGTCGTGGTCATGGCCGCGGACGTGGGCGCGGAGGCGCTCCTCACGGCAGTTCCGGATCGCCGGGTCACAACCCGTGGACGAGCATGGTCCAGGCCTGGCCCATGCCTTTCCGGGCGCCAGGCGCCGGCGTTCTTGGTCCTCGTCCCGGCACCGCGCCTCGTCAAGCCTACTTCGCCGGTGCCGCGCCACAGTACACCGTCGCCCAGCCTCCTTCGCCGCAACCGCCGCTGGACCCGTGGAACCACCAAGCTCTTCTCACCGCGCTGAACGCGCCGCACACCTCGCCGACTGGACCCCAAGAGGCCGAATAGTTCCTCGACACTGGCGCCTCTTCACACATGGCCTCCAACGCCGGTAAATTCTCCAATCCTCAGCCTGTTCTTCATTCCATGCCCATCACAGTCGGCAATGGCACCACCATGTCAGTCACTCATCATGCTTCTACCTCTATTCCCACCACCAAATCGCCTCTTCTTCTTAACAACGTTCTGGTGTCCCCTTCGTTAGTTAAGAATCTTATTTTTATTCGCGCACTCACCCGCGACAACAATGTCTCCATTGAGTTTGATCCTTTTGGTTTTTCTGTCAAGGATCTTCCAACTCGATCGGTGATCCTCTGATGTAATAGCCACGGCGAGCTATACCCCTTGGTCCCTGCCGCGCCTGAGGTTCTGACCGCCACCGTCCCCAGCATCGACCTCTGGCATCTGCGTTTAGGTCACCCAGGGCGACATGTACTTCGTCAGTTGCTTCCCCACCTCGAGTTCACCTCTACCAAACAGTCGCCTGCTCTTTGTGAAGCTTGTCAGCTCGGCAAACATGTTAGATTGCCATTTACTTCTTCTAGTTCAATTTCTTATGTACCCTTTCAGCTAGTGCACGCTGACATCTGGACATCCCCTGTACTTAGCTTTTCTGGATTCAAATACTATCTCGTTCTCATTGATGATTATACCCCTTATGTTTGGACCTTCACATTACGCGCCAAATCTGAAGCTCTTTCATGCATCTTAGCATTCCATGCTTACGTTTGTACTCAGTTCCAGCTTCGTTTGATTGCTCTTCAAACTGATAATGGCAAGGAGTTTGACAATCACGCATTGCGTCGCTTTCTCAGTGCCCATAGCATCGCGTTCCACCTGTCATGCCCCAATACCTCACCACAAAACGGGAAGGCTGAGAGCATTCTGCAGACTGTCAATGATTGCGTTCGCAGCCTGCTCATCCATGTCGGCATGCCCACGGCAACCCATCTACTGGGTTGAGGCGTTGGCCACGGCAACCCATCTTGTTAATCGCTGGCCATGTCAAACCAGCGACGCAGTCACTCCTTTCCAGCTACTGCTTGGTGAGCCGCCATCCTACAGCCATCTTCGCGTCTTTGGGTGCTTGTGCTTCCCCAATCAGACCGCGACCACGCCACATAAGCTCAGCGCTCGTTCCACACCATGCACCTTCCTCGGCTACCTAGCGGACCACCATGGTTATCGTTGTCTGGACCTTCGCACTCGCCGTGTGATCACGTCTTGCCATGTCGTTTTCGACGAGACCCAATTCCCTTTTCTTACTAAGCAATCGCTACCAGCGCCTACAACTGCAGGATCCGCTACAGTGTCAGATGACACTGTTCTTCTACCGACAACACCCGCTCGCGCGGTGCCCCCGCCACAGCCGAGTCCTGCTGCTCCCAGTGTCCACACTTCCACCCCTCCCATTTCATCTTCATCACCATCAAGTAATCCAACTCCTCCCTTGCATACAGTCCACGAGCCGCCACCGCGCTCTCCAGCTGCCACGACTGCCGCGCCTGCTGGTGCACATCCTATGATCACACGCGCCAGCGCCGGCATCCACAAACCAAATCCTCGGTACGCGCTGGCGTCCAGCACCTCTGCCATATCCCCTATTCCCAGCTCGGCACGCGTTGCCCTCAAAGATCCCCATTGGCGCGATGCCATGGGACTGGAGTTTGACGCGCTCCAACGCAATCGCACCTGTCGTCTTGTTGACAGACCGCTGGGCACCAACGTCGTTTCTGGGAAATGGGTCTTCAAACACAAGCTCAACCCCGACGGATCCTTGGAACGCTACAAGGCTCGGTGGGTGGTCTGTGGCTTCACCCAACGGACCGGCATCGACTTCGATGAAACGTTTACTCCGGTGGTCAAGCCGGCGACCATCCGCACTGTGCTCACCATTGCTGCGTCGCGACGCTGGGCGACTAAGCAACTGGATGTGTCGCCTTCTTACACGGACATCTCCAGGAGCATGTCTTCTGTCAACAACTAATCTGCTTCGTCGACCAATCCCAGCCGAACGTCGTATGCCTCCTCGACAAGTCCTTGTATGGTCTCCGTCGAGCACCGCGCGCCTGGTTCAACCGCTTCGCCGATTTCGTCGTCAAGCTCGGCTTCCGCGCCACACGTTTTGACTCGTCGCTCTTCGTTCTACAGCGGGGGCACGACATCGCCTACCTCCTGCTGTACGTGGACGACATCGTCCTCACCGGTTCCAGCCCCGTCCTCCTCCAGAACATCGTCGAACGCCTACAGGTTGAGTTCGCGGTGAAGGACATGGGTGACTCCGCTTCTTCCTCGGCATCGACGTCAAGCGAACACCGTCCGAGTTCTTTCTCTCCCAGGAACGCTACGCCGAGGACATCCTGGAACGCGCTGGTATGACGCAGTGCAAGCCGGTGTCCACGCCGATCAACTCCAAGGGGAAACTGTCCACTGAAGGTGCCGCGATCGAGGATAGCTCGTCCTATCGCAGCTTGGCGGGTGCGCTGATGTACCTGACGGTGACCAAGCTGGACCTCGCGTTCGCGGTGCAGCAAGCATGCCTCCACATGCACGATCCGCGGGCACCGCACCTGGCCATGCTCAAGAGGATTCTTCGGTACCTGCGTGGCACGAAGTCGCTCAGCCTACATCTTCGCGCGTCCGCAGAGCTCTCCGTCACGGCCTACTCTGACGCCGATTGGGCGGGCTGCCCTAACACAAGGCGCTCTACTTCTGGCTTTTGCGTGTTCCATGGCGACTCGTTGGTATCGTGGTCCTCCAAGCGGCAGCCCACAGTGTCGTGATCGAGCGCTGAAGCTGAGTACCGTGCCGTGGCGAACGCGGCCGCGGAATGCATCTGGATGCAGCAACTTCTCGGTGAACTCCGGTGTCCACTCTCCAAGGCCATGGTGGCATACTGCGACAACGTGTCTGCGGTGTACATGTCTGCTAATCCAGTACACCACAAGCGCACAAAACACATAGAGCTCGATATCCACTTCGTCCGGGAACGCGTTGAGCTCGGCGATCTCCGTGTGCTCCATGTTCTGACCGGGGAACAATATGCGGACATCATGACCAAGGGACTTCCTACGACGACGTTCGAAGCTTTTCGGTCCAGTCTTTGCGTTGTTCCGATCACACGCCCGATCATGGGGGGGGTGGTGGTGTTGAGAGACATTCTGTGTATACGTGTACACCTAGCCCACGGGCACGGCAACTGCCAGGACCGTGGGCGCGGTCACCGCCCGCTCCCACGGACGCGCATGCTGTGCGCTAGATGAGATCGGTTGCCCATTGTGCAACCCTGTTGTAACTCATATATATTCATTGAGATCAATACGAATCGGTGTTGGCTCCCAATTCTCCTCTCTACAATAATGTATAAGTATTAGGTAATCGACTAATTCATCTCTAATTCCCACCGCCTAAAACAATACAATTATACAGCTACATCAATTGAACTAATTTCAGGAGGAATTGAACAACAAATATAGATGAGAGAGGGGGGGGGGGGTATTGTAGTGAAGAGAATGGAAGGTAACAAGCTGCTCAGTGGCAGTACCTGTGCTGTACCCGTCCCTCGTCAGTCTTCACTTCAGCAGGGAGCGAACGCTGGTCGCCGGACGGCCGGACCGGCGACGGAGGAAACTCTGGCACAGCGCACAGCACAGGCCACAGGGGCTGGCGCGGTGGCCCATCCGGCCAAGCGCGGGGCGGCCGCGGCAGGGGTGGCCGGCAGCCGGTACCAGCAGGCCGATCGGTTGGGGCTGCGCTCGGTCTCCAAGTCGCGACTCGCGTGGACCGCGGAGGCGCCGACGGCCGACGCCGAGAGGAATCGCCGAGGCTCGGTTGGATTTTTTTTTTTTAACAGAGGGGGTAGCTCTATTGTTGGAATTTTTTTTAACAGAGGGGTAGCTCTATTGTTGGAATTTTTTTTAACAGAGGGGTAGCTCTATTGTTGGGCTGGGCTTAGTAGTGTATGCCATGCAATACCAGGACAGCCCATTGGATCGGCGCCTGTCCTCAGCGTCAAGCGACGCTCTGCTCTACTGTCTCAACAACCACGACATAGGCTCCGTTTGCGTGACTTTAAATCCGGCTTCGTCCGCTTCTTTTTTTTCATCCGGAACAGCATTTCTCTCTCATAAATTCATCTAGAATTCTTCAAACCATTCAAATTTCTCCATAATTCCTCCAGCCAAACACCCATATAAAAATACAAAATTCATTCGTTTTTTAGTAGCCCTAAAAGCAAAAGGTTTAATATCTATTTTTTGTCTTCTCCAACAACAAAACCCAAAAGACAACTCTTTCTGTAAATGGGTCTCCAAGAGAGAGGATACTCAGATTTAGATTATGCCTCTGCTGACACCTAAAGTGAGTCTTCCATATAGGTACTCTGTTGGAGCCTATATGTATTGTGTTGGAGACCTATTTTTAGGTTTAGGTTTCGCAATGGATCTACTGTTAGAGACAGCCTTAGAGTGTATGCCATGCAACTCTGTTTTTATTCGAACAAACATAACCTAATAATTCAAACACTAATTGCATTTTCTTCAAACGACCTTTATTTATTACACACAGAAAATAAAAACAGAAATGATAAAAAAAATAAAAACAGAGATACATTCTCAAACCCCTGACCGCACAGCGCACACTTTAATTTGCATCTCTAGGCATGCATAAAAATGGAGCAGAAAATACAGTCAAATCGTATCCCAACATGGATCGACGACCTGAAATAGTACTAAGACCCATGCATCTCTTACCTGGGAAGCACCGGTGTAAGCAGCGGCTTACCGGCGAAGAAGGCTTCAAGGTTCCCGATGGCGACGTCACGGAGGTCCGACCTGGACTCCGTCGTGAAGACCGCGACGTGGGGCGTCAGCACGACATTGTCCATGGAGAAGAGCTCCGCAGGCACCTTGGGCTCCTTCTCGAACACGTCGAGGCCTGCTCCGGCGACCCTCCCCTCCCTGAGCGCCGCGACCAGCTCCGCCTCGTCGATGATGGGCCCACGGCCGATGTTTATGACGACCCCGTCCTTCCCGAGCGCGTCGAGGACGTCCCTGTTCACAACGTGGCGCGTCTCCTTGCTCAGCGCGCACGCCACGACGAGCACGTCGGATTCGGACGCGAGGTCGTGGACGGTGGCAAAGTACTTGTAGGAGACGGATTCCTTGGGTTTTCTCGAGTTGTAGGAGATGGCGCAGCCGAAGGCTTGGAGCCTCTTGGCGATCAGCATGCCGATGTTGCCCAGGCCGATGATGCCGACGCGCTTGCCGCCCACCTTGGTGCCGAGGGGATGATAGTCCCCCTGGAGCGGCCAGAGCCCGCGGCGGAGGAACCGCTGGGCGGCGGAGACGCGGCGCAGCACGTCGAGGAGCACGCCGACGGCGTGGTCGGCGACGTCGGTGGAGTAGACCGTGCCGGAGTTGGCAACGGCGACGCCGCGGCGCGCGCACTCGGCGAGGTCGATGTGGTCCATCCCGGCCCCCGTGTTGAAGACGAAGCGGAGCGACGGGACGGCGTCGAGGAACGCGGCGTCCACGCGGGCGGGGGTGCCGCCTCCGACTATGAGCGCCGCGCGGGGCGGGTCGGCGGCCGCGGCCGCGGCGGCCAGGAAGGCCGGGAGCGCCTCGCCCGACGTGTAGAAGTCCAGGACGCGGTACCGCTCGCGCAGCGCCGCGTGGAAGTCGATTTCCCTGACGCGGAACAGGAGGAGTGCCGGGAGCGGCTCGTCGGCGGAGGATGCCATGACGGAGAAGCGGAAGCTAGCCTCCCGGCTGGCCTTAGCCGACAGTTCGCGCTGTCCGGAGTGAGCAACCTCTCTCTGGTTTGCTGCCCTGGTGACTGGTGATGAGTAGGAGAGTCCCTGCTGTCGTGGTGACTCATGATGAGGAGTATTTCTCCCGTGTCTGACTGTGGTCCCTTGCTATTTGTTTGTCATCTTCTACCTTGTGCCCATTCAAGCTATTAATTTTCTTCATCCGTCTCATTTAATCCCTGTGTCACGTGGACCACGCTCGCCGGCACCGATCTGATTGCTTGTCTCGGTTTTTTATTTTTACTGCCTGGTTCTTCCCGACTTGAGACTTTGCGATGCACGGTGGATCATAAAAATTTCTATGCCTATTGCATGGAGATTCATTAAAAAAAATCCCATTTCATTGGATTCTGGAAAAATTCCTGTTGAATGTTTCAAAGATTTGTGTGTTTCATATTCACTTCAAAATTTCCTGTTGAGCGGACAACCCCTTTTGGTTGATCAGTGTTATCTTAAGATAATGCAAACATTTATATTTCTTCAAAGAAACATATTATAAACACTGACCAGATTATTAACAGAACACAGATCAACAAGCATGTAACTACATCTACCCACTGTGCCGATAGTACAGTGTGCAAATGTTGTGGAACATATGCATCCAAAGGTAGGTAGAGAATGAATTTTCTGGACCATCTAATACCCATGAGGCCAGATTATATATAAGGATTAGGAAAAAGTCCATTTTTGGCCTTCCAACTATGGCTGCAGTATGTTTCTAGCTCTCTAGCTCGAAAACCAGACAAGCGTAGTCTCTTAACTCTTTCAGTGCACCGACTAAGGCGGCCTCGTCGATGTTGGCGCCTCGGCTGATGTTTATGACGATCCCATCCTTCCCTAGGGCCTCCAGGACATCCTTGTTCACAATGTGGTGTGTCTCCTTGTTCAGCGCGCATGCGACAACAATCACGTCTGATTCAGAAGCGATGGTGAACATTGGGGAAGTATCTGTAAGAGACTGAATCCTTGGGTCTTCTGGAGTGGTAGTAGATGACACAGCCAAAAGCTTCAAGCCTCTTTGCAATCAGCGAACCAATGTTCCCCAGTCCGATGATGCCAACACGCTTGCCACCTAGCTGAAAGCATCAAATACAGCAGATTAATTCAGATACAAATCTGACACTGAAATGGAATACAGCAGATTGGAAGGACCTTGGAGCCGAGAGGGTAGCCGCCGTCGTGCAGCGGCCAGAGCCGGCGCCGAACGAACCGCTCCGCCGCCGAGACGCGCCGAAGCACGACGACGAGCACGCCGACGGCGTGATCTGCGACGTCGGCGGAGTAGACCGTCCCTGAGTTGGCGACGACGACGCCGCGGCGCGCACACTCGGCGAGGTCGATGTGGTCAACGCCCGCGGCCGTGCTGACGAGGCAGCGGACGGCGGCGAGGAAAGCCGCTGCCTGCTCGCCCGAGGCCAGCGAGGCCAGCTCCAGCACGCGGAAGCGCTGGTGCATCGCGTTGCCGAAGGGCGCGCCCCGGCGGCGGATGAAGAGCACAGCCGGGACCGGGACGACCCGTCGCACGCCGCCGGCTCCTCCTGCCAACTGCCATAGCTGACTGTCTCGCTGCTGCTAGCACTAGAGCTTCAGTGTGCTCAATTTGTCCAATATATTTTACAAAGTGCTGCTTCTTTCATTTTTTAACTAAATAAATCTTAACAAAAGAATAGGAAGCATCAACCATAATTTAGTCATCATTCCACCTCACTGATCAGATCCAAGTTCGAGAAATTACTGACAATCGGAGCATTTGCTCTAGAATCTGGCAGATTTGGTTTCAGAATGCACCCTAAATAAATGGTAAGCATCTAGCATGACCTAAATAGGAGTAGCAGAAAACAACTTTATGGTGTTATTGAAACCTAATTAACACAAGCTTTGTCACATGTCGAAGCGTTTGGTGCTTGATACACAGGAACCAAGGCCAATAAACCAGCGAGACATCAAAATCCACCCTTTCACTTTGCTTCAAGAAGAATGGTGCGTCTCACTTGGAGATCTTAGCAGTGAGCTCCCGGACCAGTTTCGCGGCGACCATGGCTGTCATCCCATCCACCGTGTCGCGCTGTGGGTTGAACTCCACCACATCAGCAGCGACAACATCACCCTGCAAATTCTGGAGGATGTTGAGCACATCACGGAACGAGAGACCTCCTGGTTCAATGTGAGAGACACCGGGAGCAAATGCTGGGTCAAGGCAGTCCACATCAACTGAGACATACACTCCCTTTACACCTTCCCCAAGTTTCTGCAGGGAAATAATAAGTTGAGCATGGGTTTTAAACTTTTAATGATTAACAATCTGCACATTTTCAGAAATTCACTAACCACCTATGTTATTACAGTTCCTCTGGAATTAAGATTGGTGATGACTTGTTAACTGAAAATATCAACTGAAGTTGACAATTTAAACTAAAAGTTACTTGAAAAGGGACACAATAGGCAGAATCATATATCGTATAGGCTTTATCATCTATGTTTTCACCATTTTGAGTTGATATAAAAGCAAGAAAGATACATTCACATGATTGAACTAAAGCACGTTACCAGATTCTCAAGCTTCTCTCGGTCCTTTGAGAAGGTTCGCATCTCATACTGTTCCACACCAAATCTCTTCCCTTGCTCACGTCCTTCTTTGGTAATTGATCTCAATCCAACCTGAAATATGTTGGAATCAGGATAAGGGTGACAGAAACTGGTATTTACACTAGTGACAGGACAGCCTCAAAAGCAAAGTCAAGGGCATCAACCTGGAGCTGACTCAATCAAGGAATGAAACTAATTGCAGTTATAGCATATGATAAAAACTGTGATATCCAGTAAGGCGTTACTTAAACCATCCTAGCCCTTGTCCTAGTACAGAATCGATGGATATTGGAAGCTAAAGCCTAATGACAGATTTTTTTCAGTGTATTAACCTAGCAACATTACACTCATTTCATTAATTAATAGTATTGATATTTTACTTGAAAACCTGAGATGAAATAACACAATTACCTGTAGCAGTCTCCTGGCATAACCACCTTCCATTATTCTGGCAAATGAAGAGGCATGTGAATAAGTGTTCCCTTCAAAACAATCATAGATATCTGGATGTGCATCAAGATGAAGTATGTCAACAGGTCCTCCAAGCTTTTCGGACACAGCTCTAACCACTGGATAAGAAATCGAGTGATCGCCTCCTAACACCAACGGTCGAAGAGGCTCCTACACAACAGTGTGCCACTCTGAATAAATATGAGAAACAGAACAGAAAACCAGAGCTATTACACTACATGTACCAAAACCATTTTCCAGTTTCTAAAATGAAACTGAAACAGTGTACCATTAGTGATACCTAAATAAGTAAATATATCCTGCATAGTTAACAAAAAAATATTATGAGGCACTCATCATGGTATACTATGCGGTATACTATGCTTACCTCCTCCATCACTGTTTTGACAGACTCACTAATTACATGCATCAATCTGTCATCTTTGACGCCACAGTCACGGATCTCTTGAATGGGGACATCTCCAACATCAGTTAGCACCCGAGGATCATTCAATTCTTTGCCTGTTTAACAGGAACATCATATAAGTTGCATTGTTTCTTACATTTAGTGTGCGCTCAATAGTATTAAATGTACCTTCCTCTGTGCTAGAATTTGTGCTTCCACACCAAATGGCCTCCCTTATGCGTGGAGGAGCAAATGCAGGGCCTTGCAAAAAGGACGAGTTGTGACCAAGAGGGACTCCTAAGAGCGACGCTGAAGCTTTCACGCCACCCAGAGCACGCAGCAACTCTGCCTGCACAAGAACAAGTATACATTACAACAAAAGCACAAGCAGCTATTTCTGGATAAAGTCCAAGTTTTGTCCATAGAGGTTGTATAGAATTTTTCCTTGTTCCATGTACACACTAATATGTACAGTGTTTTAATCACAAACTGGAGCAGAGTGAAGCACTTAGAAAATAAGAACAAGATGTTTTCAAAATAGGAACCCTTTTATGCACCCTTCGTTCAGATATGGCAATGTTACATGTAAGGCTTGCCATTCCAAATGGAACACTTTAAAACTATCAGAGTCTTAGATTCCATCTTCTGAAACAAATAATTCCTCGAGGCTGCGCATGTCAGCTTCGACCATATCTTACTAATGTTACTATTTAAGAACCATATTATAGATCTTAAAAAACTTGATTATCAGATAAACTGAAAAAGAGTGTCGGAAAAGGCCACAGGTTGTTTTTCCTAATGGTGAAACGATTTAACAGTATTTAGAGGTAATCTTAGATGTAACAATCAACAAGAACTGGAACTTCATCACAACATAGAACAGAGTGAAGCATGAAAAAGAGAAGAAAAATATTATTTTTTGAATAAGAATTTTTCTGCATTCTTCTGTCAGACGTGGAAATTTTATATACCGGCCTACTGTCGAGATGAAAGCCATTTTAAACAATCTGAATACTAGATTCTTTTTGAAGCAAGTATATAATAGGGCGCGTGTGCATGTCAGCTTTGACCATATCTTACTCAAGTTGTCAGTATAAGGAATCATATTATAGGTTTTAAAAGACTCAAATTGTGTAACTGAAAGCAAGCTACTGAATATATTGTTTCCCCAATGATTGGAAAAAAAGAAGTGAAAACATAGCATTCAAGTCCATGTATCTGTGAATACTCTCTGAATTACTTTTTCAAGGTTCGCTAGTGTAAGCAAATGTGTCTACACTAAGCAATTTGCTAATGACGGTCAGGCCAAACTGTACTGTAGCGATCGCATGGGACGGTGCATGCTAAATGCATACTCATCAACAAGTAAACAACTGGGAAGTTTCAACTCTACTTATGTCGCCTCTTGCACTGTTTCTTGCATGTAAAGAGGAGTAACATAGAGAATTAGAGTAGAGGCGTTTCAGTTCTGAATTTTGGTTGCCTTCTGGTCAGTACCTGTTCTAAACAGAAAACAAATATGTGAAACGCAAAGGAAGGAGGAAGTATTGCCCCAGCAGAAACTGTTGCCGACTACGTTCGGAAGCACAGGGATTTGTTTACTCTAACCGTATTACTAGTTACTATTATAATGCAAGCCTGCAGCATCACCCCACATGTGAAAGAAAAAGGAAGAAAAACTATTACACAACCGTGTGTTTTATGCAGTTTCAACACATGAATTTTTTTTTCACCATAGGATTGACATCCAACAGCTTCCACCCTTTTTCTACCTCCAGCCTTCAGCCTTCTTCTGCTTCCAGACAATTACAAATCACAACATCACAGATCACAGATCACGAGAAATAATTTTTTTCTATAGAAAACAAATCACAAGATCATGTGATTTTTACCCCACACGCACCCGCTTTCCCCTCCCCGCCAACAACAGGAGCGACAAGGCTCCTCCTCCTCGCAATAATTCATTCATCCACGGCGAAGCTCGTGGTCGATTCGTTTGACCACGACGACACCCCAAACGTCGGCTGCGTGCGGGCCGTGCTGGCCGAGCTCGTCCTCACCTTTCTCTTCGTCTTCACCGGCGTCTCCGCCGCCATGGCCGCCGGTACGTACTTGTCCGTGCATCCACCGCGCGCTGTAGAGTCAGGCCGCCTCCTCTCTCTGCGGTCTTCAATTTCCTTCTACTTTTAATTCCTCTGGGCCCTAGATGTCATAGATAAAAAAAAATCCATACGCTTTTTGTGCTAAAACACGTGTGTTGTATATCATTTCGAGAAAAAAAAAAGAGAGGCTCGTCTGGATTCTGATTGATTATTCGTAGCTGAAGGGATCGAAATGCGGGGCCGAACAGAGTCCTAATCGACTCGAATCGCATGTTCGGGCGGAATGGAATATTCAGAAGAACAAGAGCGGGCACAGTGTATATATATTACAGGGATAAGGGGAAAAAGGCAAGAAAAAAAAGGGGCGGATCTTCAGAGGGATGGACTGACCTTGAGCTTTGCGCGCTCGCGGATGAGGGTGAGGGAGGCGTCGATGACGCGGCTCTGGCCCCGTTCCACCGCCTGCGATGAGGCGCTGGATGTGGTGAGGCGCTGGATGTGGTGGATCCACTTGGTACCCGCCGCCGCGCCGCCCATCTCTTGGGCCTCTCCGAAGGCGGAGCGGAACCCGACCAATCCCTGCAGCTGGTTGGGTCTCTCCCCTCGGGCTCACTCTCCCTCTCGAGTCCCGATCGATCGGACACCGCGGCTGCCACGAGCAGGAAAAGAGGCGGATGACGCAAGAGGCAGGCGGCGAGAGGAGACGTACCGTGGCGGCGTTGCCTGCCCTTCACTCTCACCAAACACACGTGACAGGCTGACAGCGTTTGCGTGCGTTTGGAATGAAGCGAGATCAATCGTTGAGAGTAGACAGCTCATGAATTTGGCGATTATTTGTTCTTCTTCTTGGAAACTTGCGTAAATCTGCACTATCCGTTGGACTAGAATTTTATTGCATTCCTCTCCGTTGTCAGAGCTAGAGACCTTTTCACGCACAAACATTTTGCAATTTTGTGTTTTATTTTATAGAATATAAATCCCACCACAATACGTTTCAGATCAAGTACCCTTTTCCTAGCAGCTCGCGACCGTCAGACGACACTGTTTACGTGGAAATAGGTAGTATAGATTGATTTATCACTGTCGCGGTGTTGCCTCGTATTTCCACAATCGGTTGAAGGAAACCGGCCGTTCGAATCTTTTAACAATAGATACGACGATGTTATTTTCTCTATCCTAAGAAAAGTTGAGCCGACTAGGATAGGTGTTCTGGTCGCTAGCTCTACATGTCCGTTTGGTCTATTGACGGTAGTAAATTCAGCGTGGGTTATTTTTCCATTTTCCAACTACCCACCACACAGTTGCATCACAAATATTACTCCGTAGTACTTTCACTTCTCCATCTTTAAGGTTGCGCATTGTTTCTCTCTCTCAGTTTATGTGAATATTACACGCTGAAAGCTCTAGTTTGGTTTTGATAAATTGATGAAACCCTAAGTGCTAACCTAGTTTATCAAAGTGATCATAAGATAGGTAGCACTATTCTAATTGATGGAGCAATGATGAAGATCATAATGATGGTGTGGTGACCATGGTGATCAAGTGCTTGGACTTGTAAAATCAGAAAGAGAAAAACAAAAAGCTCAAGGCAAAGGTGAAACTTGATAAGAGTTTTTTTTAGTAATCGAGACACTTAGCGAGTGTGATCACATTTAGGATCGATAGCCGTGCTATTAAGAGGAGTGAAACTTGTATCAAAATGCCGTAATCAAAGTGCCACTAGATGTTCTAACTCATTGCATATGCATTTAGATTCTAGTGGAGAGCTAACATCCTTGAAAAAATTTATAAAAATATACTAACACACGTGCACAAGGTGATACACTTGGTGGTTAGTACATTTTAGCAAGGGTGGAGAAGTTGGTGAAGTGAAGGAGGTGATTTTCACTGTTTTACTGTGACCGGACGCTGGGTTGTGAATCCGGTCAGTAGAAGCTGAGGCAACGTAACCTAGGGTATTGCACTGGACGCTGAGCTCGGTCCGGTCGAGGTGCACCAGATGCGTCTGATCGAGAAAATGCGGCTCTGGATGCTCTCTGGAAGTGACCGGACTCCATGTTATTGGAGCGTTCGGTCATTCCATCGGTGCGTCCGGTTGCTGGGTGTTGGTGCGCATGTGCGTGAGGACCTGACATGGGCGTGGTGCGTCCGGTCAGCTTGCTTGCGCGCCCAGTCGTGACTTAGGCATTGCGCTGAGTCACTTAATCGTTGAGATCGTGCGGATGTCGTTGAACGCGGGAGACACGTGGATGGCGATCAGTGACCGGACGCTAGGGCTGGTGCGTCCAGTTGATCTGATCGGCGTGTCCGGTCGCCCCGAATTGGGCTGCAGTGAAAGCCCAACAACTCTATTTCGTGGAGGCTTCTATTTAAGCCCCATGGCTGGCTCAAGCTCAGGTGTTTTTTGGTCATTTTGCATTGACATAGCAACCTTGTGAGCTTAGTCAAAGCCCTCATACTCATCTCCATCATTGATTCATCGTCCTTGTGAGATTGAGAGTGAATCCAAGTGCATTGCTTGAGTGATTGTATCTAGAGGCACTTGGTATTCGTGTTTCACTGCGGGTTTCGCTTGTTACTCTTGGTGGTTGCCACCACCTATACGGTTTGGAGCAGCGAGGATCGTCGAGCGAAGAAAGGTGCTTGTCTCCGGCTCCGATCGTGGTGATTGTGAGGGGTTCTTGTGCCTTCCCCGGTGGAGCGCCAAAGGCAACTCTATTGGATTGCGTGTGGCTTATGGATTCTCATCTTGTGTTAGTTGTGAGGCACGCTATTGAGGGTTTGGCGTGTGATGCCAATTAGCGCATGAACCTCCAAGTGAGTGTATCGCCACAACGGGGAATAACTTGACAGCAAGCAAGTGAACATCGGTGAAAAATCATTGTGTCATCTCTTGTCACCGGGATTCTATTGTGATTGATTGGCTTCATCTTGTGATTGGCACACTTCTCTACATGGCGGTATAAACATCTCAATCACTTGTGTATTTACATTTTTAGGGTAGCTAACCTCTTTAGTGTAATTAGTTTTGAGAGCTAGCTTGTGTAGTGTCTAGTGGTCAGTGAGTCTTTTTAGTTAGTCATTGAGAGCTCACTAACTTAGTGTAGTGACGTAGCCCTTGCGTGCTTAGAGACTAGAATTATGGTAGGTGGCTTGCATTTTTAGTAGGCTAGTGCAACATTCGCTTCGCCTCATAATTGTCTAACCATTTTGTTTAGTGTTGTTGTAGAAATTTTTATAGGCTATTCACCCCCTCTAACTATTAGGACCTTTCACACGCCTCGTGCTGCGCCGCCACCACCTCCCGCACAGCCTGCGCATTATTTCTCTCGAAATTTATGTGAACCATTGCTCGCCTCGCGTCGCATCGCCGCCAGGTCCAAAGGCAAGGGTATGCTTTCGCACTTCACTAATGGATCTTTATCGGACTATTTTTTCTCTTTAGTGATCTCATTACTAAGGAAGCTACCATCCTACTACATAATGATGATCGCAGGATCTTCAAAATAGAGGTGGCCCCAACAACAGGAACGCACTGGCCAGCCTCACAGAGGATGTTCTGGAGATCCTCCGTTGCCTCCCAGTCCGCTCCTTGTTCTCCTGCAAATGTGTCTATCGCTCTTGAAAGCGCCTCATCTCTGACAACCGTCAGGTGTTGCCCTAGACTATGGCTGGCTTCTTCTACGATAGTGAGAACAACAATAGAAACTTCACCAGCATCTCTGGTGTATGCCCCCTCCTTTGAATTCTTGCCCTTCAACCCTGATAATGTAGCTGTCTCAGATTGTTGTAATGGCCTTATTCTATGCTAGTGCCTTGGGGCTGATGGATACCGCTATGTCGTCTACAATCCAATGACCCAAAAGTTTAATATACTGCCGTCTAGCACCCATGATGTTGGCCATTCTATTAGTGAGGCTTGCTTGGGGTTTGATCCGATAGTGTGGGGAGTACGACCCCGGATACCCACAGCGGACCACATGGGCTGCGCCCCCAGGGGCGGCCCAGCCTATAAGATGAAGCCTTGCGGGACACGATTCTGCTCGGCGCCTCCCGCAAGATATGGGGAGGATATCCTAAAGATACTACGAGATCTGTTAGGATATGTATGATTCCATGATTCTTGTATTCTGTTATTACTTTCTGGTTATCTCTCAGATCTAACCGACTTGTAACCCTGCCCCTAGACTATATAAGGCGGGCAGGGACCCCCTCCAAAATCACGTCATATCATACGATAGCTAATACAAACCAACAGACCACAGGAGTAAGGTATTACGTCATACTGATGGCCTGAACCTGTATAACTCATGTGTTTTTGTTGCCTTCTTGTTCTTGATCACATGCTCCTCTGCCGACCAATCTACCTTCATAGGATACCCCTCGGAGGACTGCCGACGATATTCTGTCGACAGTTGGCGCGCCAGGTAGGGGTGTGCCTGTTGTTTCCTTGTCGAACAAGATGGCTTTTTCCGTAGGCTCTTCGTCCCTCCCTCAGCCCGGCCAGATATTCATGGTCGAATCCATCTCGTGGGTCATCAACACTGATAGAGTCGGAGAGCTCCTCGAGCTGGTATAGATCTGTTTTGCGCCGACCACCCCCGCACCTACGACTGCAGATCTGATCTTGGAACCACTTCCGAGGTCGTCTTCATCAACGACTCGCCGCTCGCTTCCTCGTTACCAGAGGAGGCACATCAACAATGACGATCTGATCAAATCCATCGATCTGGTCGGTCTAAAGCTCGCCGATTGCCTCTTCATCACTGAGTCGGCTCTAGACACTTTCGTTCAGCGCCGACCACCCTCCGATCCGCATCTATCGGAAGCTGCTCGGCAAACTCCGGGGGTTATGGCCCTACCCTTCGGGCTCACCAACACCGCCACTACATACCAAGACGCCCTGAGAGGCAAATTCGCCGACCAGGTGGGGGATATCCATCCTCTCGCTGACCAGATCGCCGATCAGCTCCCACCTATGGTCAACATGCTGCACGCCAGCCGAGGCCCCGGAGCATCCCTCCAAACCATCATGGAGGAAAATTCGGACTTCAAATCCCAGGGCTCCACGGAGACCCTTGCCAAAACCTTCACCGAGCAACCCCCTCTCCCGCCTTTCCGGGGTGGCGCGATCTTCAACGTCAGCATCGACAGCCCCCCTCGGAACGGTGAAACCAATGAGGAACGCGCCACTCGTGAAAACAGGAACGTCAACCGCGCGCAACGCCGTGAAAACGAGCGTGCCCTTGCGATGGCTGAGGCCGCCCGTGACAACCAATTCGACTCACAAGGAAGGCCGCTCCATCGCAACCTCGATGAAAGTTTCTCCGCGTTGATGGCCACGACATCTTCAAGACTCCAAGCGCCAATCTGGGGTGGCCGCCAACGAGCTCGCCCACCTCCCGCAGACGTCCGAGCTCGCCAAGGTCGCCGCTATGCTTAAAGCGGCACACTATCAAGTCAATGAGATCCGAGAGGATCAGAGACCTTCATGCTCCACGAGCACGATTCGCCGATTAGCTATGCCTAGATCCAAT